CATATATGCTCATAGTACATCAATCCTTCCTGCCGTTCTCTTCCCTCATATTCCATCAATTTTCATTCGGCGTGCAGGGAGAAAGAGCGAGAGGGAACGAGCGAGAGAGAGCAGGGGAGAAAGAACAAAAAGTGGAAAAACAACACGTTCGTACGAGGCTACGAAAGAGCCAGCCACTCTTTTGTTCCTCGTTCCTTACACGCGTCATGGGGGAGAGCACAGAAAAGGGCTGTACCACGTAAAGCTCGGCCCACACTCGTGTAACTTAACCTCGTCGCGGTCGAATTCGCCCGCTGTGGACAAGGCGGCTGTAATTGCATCCGCGCGTCACGACTGCCGGATTATTAACTCGTTAACCGTCGGAAGGGGTTTCCCGATTGCAATTCACCTACCCGCTTACATAGAAACGAATATGAATAGTGTCAGGCGAAGGGGAACGAGGCGGACAATGATCGAAAGCAACGTGGACACTGAAACGCGGTCGGGTGCGAGTGAATGTCGCTCGAACGAACGAGGAACTTGTGATCCCCGGTCAACAGGTTAACCTCCATCCCGCGTCTGCAAGTTTTCCAGCACGGCGAGCAACGACCGGCGGTACAAACGCGGCGCACAATCGACGCCCGGTTCGATCCGATGACAGGAATCATCGCGCTCGTTACGCGTGTCGTGACTCTTACCCCCCTTCCCGGGACACTGTTCGCGGCCAGGTTCACGTTACACGCGTGTGGGCCCCGCTTAATGAGTACCCTCCGTTGCTTGCGTTATGTTATTCCGCTTTCCTGCTGGATGGCTCGTCAACGATCGTTTCTCCTAGACCACGGGTAATCCCCTTTTCTTTCCGCCTTCGTGCCTCCTCCTGCGCGACGAGAGTGGTCAGACTAGTCGAGGAGACACCGGGGAGGAGACACGTTCCGCGGGATAGGTGAATCACCGTTACGCAAAGGGGAACAGCAGGAAACGTGTGTGTGTGTGTGTGTGTGTTGTGTGTGTGTATGGCTTTAGTTTCAAGCGAAAGGGACAAGAGTGCGAGAGTGTTTCGAGAAACAGAACAGAGTTCGAGCCGGGGAAAATGTAGTTCGGTAAAAGGTGGACAGAGCTTGGGAAGGGTGGAAGAGGAAGGCGTCCGTGTGTACGTGTGTTTCCATCCCCGTCTCTCTCTCACTCTCCCTCTTTCCCAACCCCCTCTTCCTCGTTACCCCCGCTCTCCAACCCCTCCTACGTTTTGCCAATTCTCCTCCTCGTCGCTCTTTCGATACACATGAAACCGATCGGCGATGTGTAGCCGCGTGCGCCACCACGATGGCCGATCGGAATAGACGAGCAAGAAGACGACTGGCGAAAGCGACGACAACAACAACAATAACAACAACATCAATAGCAGCAGTAGCAGGAGCAACAACAACAACAACAGCAACAACAACAATAACAATGAGAACAGTAACAACAACGACGACGACGACGACGAGAAAAGAAAAAATTAAAGCGTGGCCTCTTGTCAAACCCACGTCGACGGTGCTCGACGTCGGGGCTACTCTGGGCGTCGCGGCGCTCACACATCGGCTCACTGAGCCCGAGGTGGGCCGGAACACGGAGGATCGCGGCTACGACCGACAAAGACCGAGAGAATCAGCCGAGAGCCTTCCAGATAACGCCGCGCACGCGCGACGACACTACACGCCGTTGTTGAAATTACCGTTAGATTTCGGATCGATTGCTTTTTCACCTTGCGAAACACCGTTTTGTTTGTTTCGTGTAATTTATTAAACATTACGCCCGTAAACGGTCGATATACATACCCTAACGCGATGGCAGGGTGATTGTCCGAGCGTTCGTCTGTTCACAGCTCCAGTTTTCGGCATGGAGGAAACTATTACACGCGACAGTTTCGTTTTTTATTTTTGGCTATGTATCCTTAACCCTTTTGAGAGTTGAATATGCACTCCTAGCCGAAAAGTTTCGCGTAGATGGAATATCTTTTTGCTTAGCTCGCCGTCTGAAGATCGGTGGACTATTTTAATCTCTTGGGCTGTGATTTATTTCTTCGCCATGATCGATGTAATTACTTTATCGTTGATAATTTGTCAGAAATAGAAAAGGATTTGATAGTTATTCTATGTTTATGTTTACTCCAAAGGTTAACGATCGATAATCAAGAAATAATATTTAATGTATGTTCAGAAATAGTAAATAACACTTAGATTTGTCAAACTCAATTTAAAATTTTCGTCACGATTCTAACACGGTATTGTAAGTCAAGGGGTAAATTCGTACAAGATACGCTCATCTTTGCACTTTGCATACAAGATGCACTTCATCTCGTGCACTTGTAATTGTCAACAAAAATGCATGTATGCAATCCACTGCGACGACTTTCTCCGGACACATATATACGTCTATAGCACTGAAAGGGTTTAATTCGCTCTGAATTGTCGAAGTCGAAATTGTCACGCGTTCTTCGAAATCTGAAACTTTATACACAGGGATGCACCTTAGTGTCCTAGGAATGCAGATGTGCTTTATGTTACAGGCGGCGATGCCCGAGTTTTTCGTTCATTTTTCTTGACACATTTCCGACCGTGCTTTCTAAGGATTTAAGCGAGCTATAGCTAACTGTCCGCTTAAGTAACCGCCGGCAGCTGAGAAATTGAATGAGATTCTCGAATACCTGAGTTGGAATGAACCCAAGTACCGAGCCATCCGAGTTAAGCGACACGTGAAAGGGAACTGGTTTCTTGTAAATGAAACAGGACGAGATACATGAAACGTTCGATCACGTATATTTAATACAATTTTATTTCATTATAAACGATTAGGTTCTCGTTCTTTATCCTCATTAACTCAGGCGTACGCAGTGTGCACGCTCACAGGGCCGTACGCTGCCATTACTTAATTACTCGATTCTGATTGGGGCTCCTACAAGAAAGACGATGGCTACCCCGGTTCATCTGCGCGATACGGGTTTCGTACAACTCCATCCGTCGACTTATTTGAAAGACCAGCTAGTTGACCATTTGCTCCTAAACCTTTGCCACTTTTCATTGACGAAGGGGTATTTTCTTTTCCTGTATGTTTCTTATATTCGCCTCTGTACTACTTGCTTAAATCGTGCTTCACGAAACTGTATGTAATTATTTGATAGGCACACATTACGACATCTAATTATAAAAATATAAAACAGCTGAACGTAGAGAAGTATAAAATAAAAATCTTCCAATTGCAGTACACCTACGTTGCGTATATTTCTCGATTTTTCTGGGAGTAGATTTATCGTTAGATATTTTACAATATAACATTTCTAATATGTACATAGATTTGTTAAATAGGTTCCATTCATATTAGAACTGTCGAGTATTTCAAACGATTTAACTTCTTATAAACATCATGATGACTATTATTAAGTAAGTGAAAATATTAATATTTTAAATAATGTCGGGTGTAAATACGCTTATGATTTCAGAAATCTTTATGTAAAGAAGTTACAACTAAAGATTCTAATAGTTTTCGTATTGAGAAACTTTTACATTAAGAATTTAAGAAAGAGAAAATAGTGGCGATTCTTCACAACGTAATAACACGAAAATCAGAAGTAAAGTTGACTGTTCCAATTTCATTCTCTAATTTTAACAATCAAAAATCCACTGGAACAATGAAAACCTGTACACTGAAGGTGTACATAATAAATGGACCGTTAATTAATGAAATATTGTACAGAACTCGTGTATATTGTACTTCTTGGCCAGACACGCAGCAGCGCAATCGCACTGCGTGGTGTTGAACGGGTAATACCCATCCCAGTGGATTTTCGAGTAAAAAGGATGAATGCCCTTTCAATTTCCAAACCAGCTAACATAAATAACCCCAAAGCACGCGAAACAGAACTGTTTCCAAATATTCGCCACATTCACTCCAACAGCGTTTGCATCACGTATGCACAAAACCATACACATGCCTGCCAGAATCACTGACAGTCTCTGTTTTTCGACACGTGAATTTCAACTTCAGACATTTCGGATGAAATGCAAATAAAATCGACGGAACGAATGTGCAAAAGTACAAGAATGTATTTATGAAAGCGTGTTCATTAAATACCTGTTATAATTATAATATACAATAATATTATTTCTTTCATTCCTGACTTTCCATGATACTGAAGGCTCCTGTGCACTGTATTATTGAATACATTTTCACAGTAGCTTTCACATCATCTAACAAATACTTATATAATATCCTCTTGAAGAAATTGAAGATGACTTTTGTTTCACGGATTGTTTGTACAGCAAATATAGACACGATATTAGTCATAAAAAATCGTACAACTTTTTCTGTTTCTTCCCTAAATTTGCCATTTTTGAGAAAATTGCCGGGCAATAATAACACGAACACTTCGTGTATATAAATAATGGAGATATTTTTTAAAATGTTAAATATGATAAGAATATTTTATTTAATTTACCAATACATACAGTTTCGTGAAAATTTGTGAGAGTGTTAGTAAAAGAAAATATTCTTTCCTGTTCGTGATTTATAGATTAGAATTTCACTCTCGAGATTAGGTTTCATGTAAATAACTGGCAGCTCAAGTTAACTGTTAGAAACTAACAATAAGTTAGATAAAGACTTTCAAAAGCTAATTCACAATGATTCCAGATGTGGCCATGATGTAGAAGTGTTATGCTATATGAATTTCTATAAATATATGCGCATTGTTTTTTAATTATAATGTCTTGAATTTTTCTTTATTTATTCTTAACTATTCTTAACTGTATCGCTACGAAGAGATTTTATTGCCGGTCTACTGCTTTTGCACAAGACATTTAAACAGCAACTTAACAACTAACTGCAAACGAACATTTGCCACTGCATTATATTAAGCAAATTATTTATTTCTCGTTTAAATTATTAACAATTGATATACTGGAAAACACGTAGATGTAAATGCTTAAATAACTTTGCAAGTAACGATTTCAATAAAAATTCATTCGAATGAATGTTAAGTGCTTCAAAGGAAATTACATAGTACAGTACACCAAATTCTTTCTATCAATTGTAGCTTAGAATTATCACGAGTAAAATATATTTAGTGATGTCTATTGAATTGATCATTAAGAATGAATTATTGCTCCAAATAACTAAATATGTAAATTTCTTAGAATCTTAATGATCAATCTGTATCAGCATTTTGCTACATACTTGAAAAGTTAATAAAATGTTTTGTGAAAGTACATATGATACGTATTAATTAGAGAAAGTAGCTACTGACAAGATTTTCGTATTCGGGAAAAATCAACAATTATCACACTCGATAACTCGTTTATTTAGGTTTCGTTGATTCGAAAGGTACTTACCGTAAGCATCATTCACACTGTGCATTTCCAGAAATTGTCAATAGGTTAAAATAGTCGGAAAATGAAATGCACATGTATTCATGAAAAAATAGATATTTCAAATTTTAAGGACACGATTGTAAACATTGAATAATATTATTTTCAATTTATAACAGAAAAACAAGCTTTTGCAGATACTTGCTGGACCTGTACCAAAGTTTCTGTCGAGCAAGTTAAAAATTAAGTGCTTTTAAAAAAAATAAGAAACCAACTTTTATGTGGATTATAATTATTAGTTTTTTCATCTTATACAGTTATAAAAGAAATTAAATCTGTATTTTACATTTTATTCTTATAATTAGGTTTGATTATCGATTATTTATTTACATATATTTTTTTCGCATTACTGTCCTCACCTCTCTATCAGCCGCCTGTAAATCAGACTCGAAAGGCAGACACCGGGTCAGTTATGACCCATGCTAAAATGTTCGTAATATGTTACTTTGAAAATAATTTCTTTACAAAAATTTATTTTTGACGAAAGGATAAAGATTCAAGAGTAGATGTCTTAACTTTTTCCCAAACGAATGAAATTTTCATCGCTGAAGTATAAATAACGATGCATACTTTGAAATAAAGCATTCTGTAGATAATGCGCGGTATACTATGCTAGATGCAAGCACAATAAGATGTCTACAAAATTCCAAAAATTCACCCCAGACGCAACGATTCGAAGTACGCACAATATGTACCTCAAAATAGTCTAACCAAAACTCGCACAGTAAATCGTAATAATTACATAAAAACTGTAGCATGAGGTAAAAACAACCCGGAGTTTACCGGGTGCATCGTTGCTGGAACATTCACCGATAAATTCTTAAGTATCAAATATAATATCCAATATTAACTTCTGTACAAATTAGTGGCCAAATGGGAAACGTAGAATATCTTTAATAGTACGATATAGGTACACTCTCACCCCTGATATGGAAGAGCTTGGTAACAGTAGGGACGCGCTCTCGCGGCGGCTGCATCAAACCCCATTGTCAATATGGCCGTTGACGAAAGATCGCAGTATGTAGTGAGACGCGGTCGCGATAGTCTGTTCATCGGTCTCTTAATATGAAGTACGCTACACCAGGGAAAAACGTTTGTACGTAATACGTAATAATTCATTGTAAATCCGACCAAAATGAATCGTGTCCTCGAGGAACGAAGAAATTATATGCAGAGCGAAAATGCTCTAACACAAGGTACGTGATCACATCTCGCGTTTATATGTTTTCCCTTAACATTAGTTCGACTGTTTACGAATATGTCGGAGTAGAACCACGCTAGCCATCTCGCACAGCTTCCTCAACCCGCGTTCGATCGATTTCTTGTTACATTTATTAGCATTGACATTTAGCTAATGCCAACCGAACCCGTAAAAATGTAAAACAGACTTCTCAAACGATATATGATGCGTTTTTAACGCAAATTCTCCGTGAAAAGTCACCTTCCTACCCCTACGAGCGTCTCCTCTTCACGAGGCTGGTACTTTAACCCTCATCCACTCGATGCCGGGTTACTTTTGATTTGTCTTTTAGATATTTGTTTACGTATAGTCAAATAATCAATTGCACAAAGTATTTCATTCTGCTGAGGGTAATAAATCTCATTCTTTTTCTTTTTTCTTGTGTTAAATATTACAGATAATGGTTAAAGAAAAATATTTTTTGAAAATTTATTAACTTCTTTTTGAATAAATAGTTTGTATTCATATCGTTGGAAATATTCCATTAATGGTATAATAAAATATAATTTTAATAAAAAGAATAATTTCTAAATATATTTTACGAAGATTGAAGTAGTTGACCTCCCGCGTCACTATTTAATGGTTCGCCATTCCGAGGGTTAATTTATTTGGTAACAAATTTCAGCCGATCGACGCGAGTTTAATTTATCAATCACTACATTTATCCTTCGTTAGTTTTAATGAAATTCTGTACGTATCAAATAAAAACTGTAGATAGTCAAAATTTGAAGTGTTTAATATACTAATTGCTTCGTATGAAACCACGACAAAAGTGTACGAAGTGAGATTTATTTGATAAGATCAACAAGACGAAATCAGTGTACAAAAATAAGAATTACATGATAGAAATGCGATCAGACTGATTTATAGTAATAATTATAATATATTAATTTTTTGTGACAGGTGATATTTATTTATCACATTGCATTTCATCAATTTCTGATACCCTTAAGTGCTATTTTTATTAAAGAATGTGACCCAAAGTTGAGGACCTTTGCATAAATTGTATTTTTGAGTAGTACATTTATACTTTTTACCACTAATATGATGCTATTATTTTTAAAAAATTGTATTACTACATATAAATTAAAAAAATGTATTTCAACCTTGCTTTCTGACTTAAATAACATATTATAAATTACATCTAATGTAATATTTTACAATTATACAAAAATGTGAACTGTCATTATTTTCATAGAAATATATTTAAAATAAAAAGACATTTGTCATTATATAGATACCAAAAAGGAAATGGTTCATATTGATGGGAAGCTCAAATTAAACAATGACGAGTCAAAATCATTAATTGCTGACTTATTTCCTTGGATGTTAGAATTTAGAAAAATGTGCAGATGTATACATGCAGAGAAAAGTATGACATCATTAACAAAACTTATGGAATTTTATGCAAGGTAACATTTATAATATTATACGTTTATTTTAATTATTGAATTTTTAGTTCACCAGTAACATTTTATTTGGGAACTGGTATAATTGTTAAGAAGATTTTGTATTCTTAGAAATTCCAGCTACAACTATATTTAAAATTATCATTATTGAATGATAGAATATTATGACATTAGTTTTATACAATATTTAATATACAGTATCAGTTGAAAATTTAATATTATCAAATGATAATTATAATCAGTAATAATTATACATAAAATTATTTACTCTTTACCTTTAAAACTTACAATAATTCATGGTAAATTACTCTGAATAATGTTCGCTATCTCTGTATAGACTAATAAATAAATTTTCTTTTGTAATTTTTTCTTGATTTTGTTTGGAATAAATGTATAGCTTAGCTAAGACGCTAGAATTATCTTTTATAAAAGTAAAGTCACATTTTTTACGTTTTATAATTAAAATATAAATCCATTATATAATAGTAAGTACTATCGTAATGTGAATGAAAATTTTGTTTATTATTGGACAAATAATTTACATCAGTATTAAATTACTAAGTTACTTTAGTATGAAATTTTTTTACAGAAATGTAAGTATTAGTGTAAATGAATGTTATACAAGGCCTTTAAGAGCTGCAAAATTAAAGGATTCTATTAGTGAGACTCTACTGTTATTTATGTACATATATCGTGAGGTTTCTGAGGTAAGCAAAATTCTTTTCCAAATTTGAAAGCTGTTACTTCTCTATTTAATAATGAAACTTCACCTTTTAGGATTGCAATAGATCTATTTATTTAAATAATATGTCAGATTTATTAGCATTGTACATAGACATGGAACTGAAAGCATCAAGAAAAAGTAAAGAGGAACATGAGAAAATTAGCGCAAGGCTCACTTCTTGTCTTTACGTTTATCTAGGTATGATTGGCTGTATATAATTATAGTGTAATTAACTTATTTATGTATGTAATACTGTGTATATACACAGAAGCTAATTCTATTTTTAACAGAACATATTTCTTACAGAACATTCCACGCAATATTTACTCGATACATTAATGAAAATACAATTCATGTGTCGTAATTACCATCATATTTTAGATCCAATAATAACGTAAGTAATGAAATATGTATATAATCAATAAAACTTATTTTCTAGTTCACATTACATGTACTATTTGTCCTTTTTTATCAATTTACCTTTTTTGCTATTAAAATTATCTATATTTAAATATTTTTCTTGAAATTATATTTATTTTATTATATATGATATTTTTCTTAGGAAAATTATGAAAAATATTCCTATGCATCCAGAATCAAGTACTATGTATCTTCGTTATTTTCTTGTTTATCGTTTATGGAGAAAAATAAATGAAGATGTAGCTGTAAGAAATCGGATAACGGCTGCTGCGATTGTATCTCTGGGGCCAGTGCCATCTACATTCTCACCATGTACATTAGAAGATGTATTGCCAAAAGTGCCAAAGAGTCAATCAAATTCTACGAAAACTCTGTTACAGCATAAATTTGACATTAAAAGACATTGTGAACTCTTTGTACAATATTGCAAAGAAAAGGAAGGAGGTATATGCCAGAAGGACGGACCTGCAACTTCCATTGATTCGTCCAGTAGAGTTAATTCACAAACGGTATTTACTTATTTATTTTCCTATTTCTTTCTCAAATTTGCTTCAAATAAACTTCTTATTAAACTGCAGATCTTTACGCAAACTGATATTTCTGTTAATGACAAAAATGAAGTATATATTTTGTAAAAAATTTCATTGTGTTAAAATTAATAGTGTTATTACATTTTATTAATGTTTTTATTGCAGTGCATTTTACAAAGGTTAATGATATTTATATTACCTTCGTGAATGTAATATTATTTTATAATGACAAAATTAATCAACTTTATATTTATTTTTAGCCGGAAGATAGTGCTTGTAAAGATACAGAGTATATAGAAAGTAATGTAAATTCAATTATAGTAGATAAGAATAAGCATAATGAATCTATTTCTTTGCTAAAAACTTTTAAATCTATAAATTTGGAAGAACAAAGTAGTTTTAAATGTTTAGAAACTTTTTCGAATAATATTTCTACAAAGCTTACTATCCCTAAAACAATTAAATTGAATAAAAATCGTTTGCGCAGGAATTGTAAAAAGTCCAATGAAATTGTAATTATAGATTTGACTAGTGATACAGTATTTGAAAAATGCATAAAAAGAAGAAAATCTAGAAAACTACCATGGTTGGAGGAGGCTAAAAAGAGAATCGACCTGAAGATTGCAAAAGCATCACATAAAACAAGAGATCAGAAGAAAAGCAAAGAAGAGAATATTGATGACACACATTCATCCAACAGTTCAAGACCAGTCAATCGCCAGTTGGAAGATATATCACAATTAATACATACATCAGAAGATGCCAGTTTAAGACATAATTTAAGTACTTGTTGGACAGTGGATACTAAAAATACTGAGAGTAAATTAGAAATTGAGAATAAATTAATAGATTATACAGAAAATGTGAAAAAATCAACTCACATTGAAATTGATTCTAAGAAAACAAATGTTCAAACGTCTTGCCCAATGCCATTACTCCAAAATGAGAGTAATTTTTCAACACAAAAAACATTGAATTCCACTGTCAATGATAATTACATGAATGATTGCATAATCTCAAAAACCGAAAGTAATGAGAAGGAAAACGATAGAAATAACGAACAAACTGTGATCAAGCGATTGATGGAAACAAACATTTTCTCAGAGCCTGATACACATGAAAGAGCTGAAAGTTTCAAAATAGTCTGTGATTTAGGAACAGAATGCCCAAGTGTAAATAGTACTGCGATATGTACTCGGTACAATCCCAAAGATAATGCTGTTAATTCTAATTGTTCTAATCTTAATATAAATAATGATAGAGTAACTGAAAGGGTAATATCGTCAATAATAATGGCAGAAACCGCCTCGAAAAATAAAACTGCAATTGAACAAACTTGTACGCCTAACTTTTTCTATAATACGATTAATTCCGAAGGACAAAGTGAAGAATTGTTTACACCTCAAGAAACCGATAAACGTGAAATGATTTGTACCGAAGTGATAGAAGACGTTTCTAAAAACTTTCTTGCAGAAGGTTTCTTACAAGATAATGAACAACAGGAGTCACTACCAGCATCCACACAGAATTCAAGTATACAAGGTAAATTTGAATTGCAAACTGAAATAAAATCACCAAAATGTACAAATGAAGTGGGCTATATGAAAAAGGAGGAGTTTTGTGAACAAACAGCATTAGAAATTTGTGATTACAATGAAGTGAAGTGTATAAGAGAAGATAAAACAAGTGTCGTTAATATCAGAGAATCTATTTTCGGATCTTATTCTACGGATAAGAAAGATATTTCTAATAAAGTTAACATAACATGCCCAAATACAAGTTTTAGCGAGTCCATAAAAAGTGTAACAAATGACAAGTATGATCATAGTCTTGATAAGACAGATGTTCCTAGTGATTCCGATTTATCATTGGAAATAACACCAAAAAAGGAGTCTAACAAGTTATACAGAAAAGTGGAAGATAAACAAATGTGTGGCACTGTTCAGAATGAATATGTTGTTCAAGACCCTAATCTGCAAGACAATATCGATGGTCTTTCTCTGTTAGCCAGTGTTTCACAACACATACCACATTTGAAGCCAGAAACTGAAATGAAGTGTGACCAAATCAAGGTGAAAGATTATGCTTCTTTGAGGTACACCTGCTGCAGTCAGATCACCAATGATGAAACTGAAAATGATTCATCAAATCTTGTCTCTCAGTTACTTGAAAATCCATCTACAGAGATCATTAACAGAATTGTGGGCGTTTATCCTGAAGACTCATTAAACAAGGTAGCTTTTCATGTAGAAGTGACGTCGAATGACACAGAGACTGAGAATGCTAACAGAGGATTGTATAATAATTTAGCACCTGTGGAAAACAACATACAAACCACAAAAGAAAATACTAATGTTATACTGAATGGAGAGACTGTGGTATTGCTACAGAAGTCGCCAAACAGCAATTTGTATATTATAAATAAAGCAGTAGAGAACTCGAAGGATCACAATGACGAAGACATTAGCAGACTGAAGGACAAGAATTGGATATCATCTACAGAAGAATGTGGTTCATTTGAAGCAATTACTTCGGTAGATCATGTGTCATATAACTTAGAACTAACTGCGTATAACAAAGAACTACAGTATCAGGAGAGCAAGTGTTCAATGGGGCGAGGAATTAAGGTGGAACTAGAAGAAAACAGTTTCTCGGATAGCAAGTTGTATACTAAGAAAGTAGCTACAGATATGATTTCTGTTAATTCATCAATGTATCAAGACGTGAACATAACCAGCAAATCACTGGACAAATTAAAATCTTCCAAATCAAGTTTATCATTGAGACAAAATATTAAGCAGGAGTTAAGTATATCCAATCATTGTGCAATTTCAGGGTGTAACAGTATTCATTCGCATCCTCACGAAGTGGATAGTTCTCAATTACATATTCCTGTAACTCATCCAACAACTTTGCCACCTATTTACGGAAACTGCGCTAGTAGTGCAGACTTGTGTGTGTCATGTCATAATCATTGCAGCTCAGTGTCATGTGGTTTACAAATCAACACCAATAGTTCGCTTCATTCGCATGCGAAATCGAGTAGTCCATGCGGGCGATCGCATTGTTCGTGTCTGAACTGTACATACGATATCGTCACACGTTATAGACAATGCATTCATCCAGCCACGGACACTCACGTATCTTGCATTGAAAGTAGTTCGTATTTTCTGCCGACGCATTCGTCGGTGCAAAATTCCACCGTCCAGGAACATGACAGAACGAAAAGCGAAGTGGTTATGAACAAATTGTACGACGATCAATTGTTCTGTAAAATAGAGAAAAGTCTGCCCCAAAGTAGCCAATTAGACAAGCTAGAGGTGCAGCGCGATCCAGAGAAGGTGTTTAAAAAGGACTCCGATAATATGTTACCTTTGAAAAAGAGATTAAAAGCGCATGCCATGGCATACACAGAAATGGCAATTAAGGCCGAAAAGGTAGACAATTATCCGGCTGTACCCATGATGTCGATAGCAGCTTTGGAAGCATTGGATAATACTCAAAAACGGTCTGTTCAAATGGTTAAATCTGAGTACGAATTGTCTCCAGGGAAGAAAGATCATCATGATGGATATTGCAATTCAAATTTAGTGCGGAGGGATTACTATAAAGACTTACACGTGTCTGGTACACATCAGAATCACGCAAAGGAAAGCATGAGAAAGCTGGAACGTCAATTTCGATCAACTAATGATCAGTCTAATGCAGTGTATCAAGAGACTTGCCTTCAAAGATCATTTAAAACACCAGCGCAACGGAAAGAAATTAATATATTGAATGGAATGCCATTGAAAAGAATGAGTACTCAGTCTATAGAACAGGAAGAAGAAACATTAAAAAAAATTAAGAAAACACAGTCGCCTCTACGACAAACAAGAAGCTCAAAAAGAAACGTTCCTAAAGTTAATTATTCTTACACCGATGTCGATCCAGAATGGAATCCGTCCGGTGAGTCGAAACGCAAACGTAAAAAGACTAGTCGATGATCAATACCTCTTCATTACGAAGATTCATTAACGTAGGGAGTGCTTTGAACATAGACGAAGAAGTATACATTACCCTGTAAAATTGTGGCATTGTATAAAGTGTAAATAATAATATAGATGAAGTAAATTGTTTTTTGAAAATACTGGATACTTATATCCAGCACAACATCCGAAGATTAACCAGTGAAAATTTGCCGAAAAATTACAGAATCTCGACATGGAAGATATAACAAATATTTTGTTAGTTATAGTGAGATAAATGCAAAAAGGGATAGACAAGTCTTTACTCTTCATAGTGTATTCTATATAGAACTACACAGTATTACATACAATTTTGTTCTATTTCTATTAGTAGTACTTAAGTTTAGTCACAGCTACTTTTATTTAAACTAAACAACTTATCATGTTTCATAAAACTGTTAAATTTTTTTTTACATATATCATAACATAAAAAATAATTTTGTACATACTTACGTACATAGAAAGTAAGAATAATTGCACACTGAAGTTATTACGTTACTCTCATACTTAAGGTAAGGTAATTCACTCTTTGAATATAAAGATGATGAAATAAAAACTTTAACTTAATAATAACTTTTTGTTAAGTTAAAAAATGGTAACACTTATGTAAATATTTAACATAAAATTATATGTTTAGGACGCATTCATACAAGTCAATGTTTAGGACAAGAATATATCATAAATTTACAAACAAATAGGATAAAATAATTTGAATTATATTAATAGACGTATACAAAAATAAAATTTAATTTATTGACAAAAAATGTATAAGTAAAATCTAAAAGGTTGACATAATTTTCAATTAATATTAGTTTGTTCATAAGTATTTCAAATAGTATCAATTACCTATACATATATGTTATATATTGTAGCCTAAAATGTATAAGGAGTGTCTTTATCAATTTTATTAACAATATTTTACATTACAGGTTAATTATTTCCTCACCTTTGAATACTTCAGAAGAGCATTTAACTCAGGAGAAAGTGGTGTCAATAACTTGCCAAATCACATAAGAGTAATTGAATCGCTATACAACAGCAGAAGTAACAAGAAACACCAACTACTTTCAATTTTATATAATATATCTCTTTACATATAACAGTACCAATTGTTATAAATACACATATAAATATCAAAATGCAGGTAGTGTGACTAGTCATTGGTTTTTAATTTAAATGGAAACTTTGACAGAAGAAAAAATACGGCGAAATAATATACAGTAAAGAACTTCAGATTAAAGTTAAATATTATGTAGAATTAAAGTACCTACTTTAGATTGTATAGATATCAAAACGATAGAGCTTCGTCCCAAGAAAAGTCATTTGATACGACACCCGAATTTATAGCGCCTTCGCATAATTTATGCTTCAAAAGTTAGACATATATTTTTAAAAATTATTCACTTATTTTTTTCCAATCGTGGAAATGGAATATGCCTCACTGTACAAATTCTAAGCGAAAGAAGGATAGGTGAAATCTTTTTTAAATCTTTGTGAAGTAATCGTAAACTAAAAATTAGAGCTACTGCTCAAGGAAATCAATGACTTAATTTTTATTCACTGCAATCATTCTTGTAAGTAGACTCATTTTTAAATAGTAAATAATACTGAATTCAATAATATTGCCTGTAAAGTAGTATCCTGATTTAAATATAATTGTTATGGTTTAGTCATAAAATATAACACCATTTACATATTTTTAGTGCCATATTCCTGTATATGATATTACGTCTGTGATTATTAACTAACATTAAACTAATGTTTAACCATATTCAACATCAGTTATACATAACTATATTTTGTTGTACAAAAAAGGACTGTTTAACTTAATATGTCACTGTAAACACAATGAAATACATATTGTTTTCACATGGCATAGTAAGTATCAAAAAAGGGTCATAAAGAAATTATATTACTTCGTGGCGAATCTCATTTTCGTATAAATAGTACATTTTTTTCAATTATAAAACCTGTTGATAGTTTTAAATCTCGCGCTTGGTTAGAAAAAAACTTATTATATACATTAAGAAATTATTTATTAATTTTCAAGAAAACAAGTCTGATAGTTTTAAGTTTGACATAAATCAATTTTTATTTTAACATTGTCAATGATCAAAAAATTGCTAAATAATTCCATGTGTTTTTGTAGAACAGGTATAGAATGGTTCATGAACAAAACTATACTGTATATTCGTTAAGAAAAGTCTGATATCTGAAATTTTTAATTCAATGTAATAATATTATGTCTGTTATTCCATTCATTCATGTTCATGAAAAAAAATTGAGTACTGTGTATGTGTAAAATGTTTTTGTCATAATGACGAATAAACCTATGTATTTACCTATGTTTGTAAACTATATGCATCGTCTGATGCACAGATTGGATTTATTGAAAAAACTGATATTAACATGCAAACATATTTACCTCGAGTTTACATCCCCAGCGTAAATATTTTACGTTTACGATAGGATTAGACATAGTCATTTCTAACAGGGTAATTATTCCAATATTTTTTTCATGCCCTTTTTAATATATAATTTTTATATTTAATCGTTTTCAGTTTGAATATGTGAAAACATAGCTCTACGACATTTTTATTTGATTTATAATAATACCTGATTGTATGATTCAATATATTATGTAAAATGTATTTTTAATATACTTATTTTACATGTTCATAAAAATATACTTGGATCCTTTGCTATTAATCAGTTTTTTCCTCTTTAATAGAATTTTCCATGCTTTTTACATAGTATAATTTAATAGTATTACACACTACTTTTGTTCGATAAAAATATAGAAATTATATAATTATATTTTATGTGTATACATTAAAATA